ACAAAGCCCTCTGGCTGCTGTATGTAAATAGGCTCTGCGAGATCACCATGCAAGAAAGCAGTCTTCACATCCATCTGCTTCAAATGCAAATCCCAACTAGCCACCAATGCAAGTGCAGCCCTGATCGAAGTATGTCTAACCACAGGGGAAAATGTCTCATCATAGTCAATCCTCTTTTGCTGTGAGTATCCTTTAGCCACCAATCGAGCCTTGAACCTTTCCCCTCCTTTTTCTGTTACCGATGACTTCCTTGTGTAAATCCACCTACTACAACCAATAGCTCTCTTCCCTTCGGGAAGAACATCCAACTCCCATGCCTGATTCTTGTGTACATAATTCATCTCTTCTTCCATGGCAGCCTTCCATCTATCATTATTCTCACAAGAAACAGCCTCCTGGAAAGTACAAGGATCCACACTAGTGATCGTAAGAGCAAACGCCACCATATCCTCATAACCAAACCTGACCGGAGCTTGTATATTGGTATGCCTCACTCTATCCCGAGCTAACTTGTAGCTCTCTGGCACATCAATTGGGCCAGAAACATCATGATCAACATCATCAGGTGCAGAACTCGAACTCTCCCCCTTATCAAGAACTGCTGGCACATGTTCCAACTCCACATGTACCTTATCTGCATCTGATCCCAACATAGACTGTTCATCAAACACTGCATCTCTACTAATCACCGTCTTCTTCTAAACTTGATCTCAAAACTTGTATCCCTTCACACCTTTCTTATAGCCCAGAAAAGTGCACTTCTTTGATTTAGCATCAAGTTTTGACCTCTCATCAGCAGGAATATGAACATAAGCAGGACAGCCAAAAATTTTCAAATGATCAAAACTAACATCATTACCTGTCCATACTTCTTCTGCAACTTTTCCATCCAGAGATACACGTGGTGATCTGTTAATTAAATAACAAGCCATACTTACAGCCACAGCCCAGAAACTCTTTGGCAAACCCGCATTCAGTCTTAAACACCTCGCCCTCTCAGCCAGTGTCTGATTTATCCTCTCAGAAACACCATTCTGCTGTGGTGTTTTATGCACTGTAAAATGCCTTTGAATCTCATGCTCCTCACAAAACTTCTGGAACTGTGAATCGGTGTACTCTGTACCATTATCAGACCTTAAGTACTTGATTTTCCTACCAGTATGGTTCTCCACCTCAGCCTTCCATAGCTTGAATTTATGCTTCATGAAATACACCCAAAATTTCTTCGAAAAATCATCAATAAAGGTCACATAGTACAAAGAACCACCAATCGATGTCACTCTAGTAGGACCCCACACATCTGAATGTACATAATCCAGAATTCCTTTTGTCTTTTTCTTCCCAGTCTTGGAACTGACTTTTGTCTGCTTTCCCAGAACACAAAACTTGCAGAAATTGAGTTTGCAAGTTTTAACACCATGCAGAAGCCCCCTATTATGCAGTTCAGTCATGCCATGTTCACTAAGATGTCCAAGACGCATGTGCCACAATTTCGTGCTATCTTCACACGACTCCACCAAATGGACTCCACCTACAACTGTACTTCCCAACAGTTTGTAAATGTTCCCTGCAGTGATCCTCCCCTTCATCACAGTCAAAGCACCCTTCACAATCTTAATGGTTTCCCTATCCTCATCAACCTTGGGAATGAAACCATTTCTATGCAAAGTACCCAAAGAAATCAAATTCTTCTTCAACTCAGGTATATGTCTCACATCACATAATGTCCTAACAGTTCCATCATACATCCTGATTTTGACATCTCCAATACCGACAATACCGCAGCATCTATCATCACCAAGAAAAACAGAACCCGAGTTGCCTGGTTTATAAGTAGAAAACCACTCTATGTTAGGCGTTATATGATATGAACATCCAGAATCAAGAATCCAAGCATCATCATACTGCGTAGTCGAAATAGATAACATATCTCCATCACTGCAATCGGATTCCTCATTTTGTACCACATTCGCAGACTTGGATGACATATCAGCAGTCTGTTTCTTCCACTTTGGGCAATCCGTTTAAAGTGCCCTTGTTCCTTGCACTTATAACACATCACAGTTTTTCTCCCTTTCGATTTGTCTCGCGACTTGGATCTGAAATTCCGATTTCCTGAATTATCCCGCACCTGTTTCCTTCCACGATCCTGGTTACCCTTCACATATAAACTGTCACTT